TCTTGATCTGCTATGTATAATTTGTCAGTAGGTTGTAGGAGTAATATGGTTCTCTCTGGTTTTCAAAACTAGCTAGGTATTGTTTATCTCTCGCATTGTCTCACCCCTCCATCATGGTTTTCCCACTTAAGGTGCCCCCATTTCCCCCCTTAACTGTTTTAAATTCCTTAACATATTCACTTTTGCAAGTTTGTTCCAGATCTATTCCTCTTCTCTCCCTTCTTCCTTGAATTTATAACCAGTTCTAAATGAAATGGGAGTAAGTAGGGTTTCTTTTCAATACCTTCTGTCAGCCCCTCTTGAACTCTGCTGACCCTGCTGTCTCGGACTTTTCCTCAGACACACCCTGCTCCTCACTGTCAACCACTGCTGAGTCTTCTGTGCTGCCTCCTCATGTACCAGTCTTCTGGTCCTGGTTTAGCACATGCTTTTATCTCTCCCCCTCATCCCTCAAGCCCCTTACTCCTTGATTGTCCCTGTTTCTCCTTCCTAGCTCTCCTCATTTCTGCCTTCTTTGGGGTGGTCATATACAGAATGCCTCTGTTTATCATGTTCTGTTGTTCTTCCCTCTGTGTTCACCTGGATTCCCAGGTGAGCAGCCAGAAACCACATGGCATATGCATCTGGAGAAGCTCCTGATAGATCTGTCACAGGACTGGACTTGCACTGCCTGGTTCACTTTACAAACTCTTTCAGACAGAATTGTCTTATATTCCTCTATTTCCCTGGGGGCTGCCTTGTGTGTTATTGAATACATTAGCTTGCTCATTCCTATTCCTGCTGAACCTGCTCATCCCAACTGCAGCTGTTCCTGTCATTGCTTTTTTGTGTTCAGCATCAGATTTTGGCACTTAATCAGATCACTGGTATGTGGTATTTATCATCTCTAATTCTCTTTTTAAAAATTAAAGACACCAGACTGGTGAGATGGCTCAGCAGGTAAAGGCTCTTGACACCAACCTGATGACCTGAGTTCCATTCCTAGGACTCACATGGTGAAAAGAGAGAACTAATTCCTGCAAGTTATTATCTGAACTCTACACATGCACCATTGAACATAACCCCCCCAAATAAATAAATATATGTTTTTTTAACTCAAGACACCTTTTAGATAGCCACAGTCTCACTGTAAGATATCATTATTACTTTCTATATGAATTTTTGTCCTACATTTTCAGATTTTATTTATTTACTTACATTCTCAAAAAAAAATCTTGTATGATAGGCAATATAGAGCTTCTCAATAGAGCCTCAGCCACTTGCCCAGTGCCCTAGATCTGGTTAGTGTTCTCCTGACTTCAAGGTTCTAGACTATGTACCTCTCACTAAAATCATTAGAGATGTTGATCCTGGGCAGCATGGTTCATACTTGAATTCCTCTTTAAACCAGGCCTGTTTTATGCTCTTAGGTCTACAGAAACAGCCTTTCTTTACAGGCAGTTACATAATTATGATGATCAATTTCTGTGCTTTTTCTAGAAATGTTCTGCTTTTAGCTCACAAGCATATTGGGACAGGCTCTTTTCCATAAGGAGCTCTGTCCTTTATGATTATCTGGGAACTCTGTCTAGAACCTTTTCTTTATGTGAATTTAAAGTATACACACTGGTACATTGCCACTCTGCTGAAATGCACTGCAGGGCAGCAGGAGTGGAGGCAGCCTTAGCTCTGGTCTCCACCTTCTTTCTTCTGCTCTCCACCTTAGTCCAGGATATGGATGTCTTGATTCCAGTTCAGATCTCTCGCATACCCATTAAGGAGTGGGCTCTAAGTATTGTAATAAACATGCTTTCTCTCTCTCTCTCTCTCTCTCTCTCTCATAAACCTCGTTAGTCTTAATATAGTTACAGAAATATTTAATATTTCTGTTTTTTTTTATATAGTAAAAAAAACGTACTATCTCTCTCTCTCTCTCTCTCTCTCTCTCTCTCTCTCTCTCTCTCTCTCTCTCATAAACCTCGTTAGTCTTAATATAGTTACAGAAATATTTTTTCTCTTTGCCTTTTATAGTATCTAAATAAGCTCCCTGAAGGTCAAAAGCCTAGTACTCCTTTTGGCTGTTTATGCTGTAAAAACATGAAATTAACACATCAGGAATATTTCACATTCTTCCTTCCTGAGCAGATTGATATGAGCCAAATTTCACATTACTCAGAGCAATGTACATCTTCTAGCCTACAATTTATGAATTTTAACTTACAAAACTAAAGAATTTTTGTTTGCTTCCCTACTTAACAGTTTTTAAAGCTTTGTTCCCACCTTTCCTGCTACTTATTATTTCTTCTAAAAATTGTACTTCAAAGCTAGTCAGTCTCAAATTAGACAATTTATTTTCATTAAAATAAAATGTATATGTATTTTTTTTGAGACAGGGTCTCCCTGTAGCTCCAGCTGTCCTGGAACTCACTATGTAGACCAGGCTGGCCTTGAACTCACAGAGATCTGCCTGCCCCTGCCTCCCGAGTGCTGGGATTAAAGGCGTGCGCCACCACGCCTGGCATGTATATGTATTTATTATCGCCTATAGTATACTTGTATTAGAACCAACAGTCATTAAGTATTTGTCAGCTATCATCAATGCATTATAGTGATCAACTAAATATAGTGATATTATTGTTGGAAGATGTCTTAGTCTGTTTGCTGCTGCTATAACATAATATCATAGATGGAAGAATTTACAAATATAGAAGCTTATTTAGTTCCTAGTACTTAGAAGTCCATAGCATGGCACTGGCATGACAAGGGTTGTTTTGTTATACCATAACCTGGCAGAACACAAGCACACACAGGACAGAGAGGCTTTCATCCCTTCCATCAGGAACTCACCTCCAAGACAAGAGCATCAGTCTATTCCTGGGGGCAGAGCCTTCATAGCCCAATTGCCTGTTTTTATTTTTTGGCCTGGTTGGGAAGTGCTGTAACATGTAACAGTAATCCCCAGCCCCTTAGTTATCTTTTACAGGCCCTGCTCCTTCATGGTGTTACAGTAGGAATTCAGTTTCAACAGTTGTTTCAACCTTAGCAGCTGAGTTGCTTATGTCTTAAGGAAATATATGCTGGATTAGAACAGAAATAGCAGTATATCTCTGGTAGTCAGAGGAAATACTATTTGGTGAAATTTGTTTCATCTGTATATACTTTTTTTTGATACACACATAAACTACTATATCAGTTACAGTATAACTTTTTTCTGTATGTGGTAAAAAGATCAGAAGTCATATAAACATTAAGAACTATAGAAATGTTCTCTTGACACACCGATTTAGGACTTTATGATTGTCTTGATAAGACCCCAGAGTCCATATATATTGTATAACAAGAAATGGTTATACAAACATTGGTATAAAGAACTTAGCTTTACAAGATAAAATCAAGTAGGAATAAATAATTTTAAATCTCCAAACTGACACCAAATTACATGATGCCACTTGTTAGGTTCCAAGGTCACAGTAATAGTAACCATTCCCTAAAAGGTAGATGCCAGAAACCTCTAGGCTTGAATTCTGTGTGTGTTTGTGTGTGTGTGTGTATGTGTGTGTGTGTGTGTGTGT